AAATGGTGGAAGTCGTGCAATCATTGATTTTTGTTTTCAAATGTAGAGAGAGCTGATATGTAAGTCGCCCCCTCTTACTCCCTCTAGGTCCATCCTTGTGGGGTGGGATGGTGGTAGCGGTGTTGGGAAAATGTTTTTCAGTTTTCAAAATTGAAATTTTTTTTTTGCTATCCAAATGAACTTGTTTTCTTTTTATAATAGGAAACGTTGTGTGAACTTTCATATTATGGGGTTTCAAGAATTTGAAAATATAAGTGAGAATATTTTTAACTCAGGGAAACAAAATATAAATTTTATGTACTTTTGAGGGGTGTACATAGATTAGATTGGTCTAGTTTTAGAGTAATTCAGAATTGAACTGGTTTTTACGGCTCCAAAAAAATTAGAATCGTAACCGAACCGTCAACCTATGTAACTACACCAGAACCGAACCATAAAAATAGGTTTGGTGTTTACGATTTTAAGAATTTTATATAACAACAAATATGATATGTATTTTATGTTAGTAAACAAATTAATAATAATTAGTTTAGTTAAGTTGGTTTGAGTTTATCAATTTTACAATAATGGCTAGTGTTCAAATCTTATAAAAAATATTTTATTTTTTATTTTTTTATATAAAAAATATTAAACAAATATGTCACGGTCCGATTTGGTTCAAAATCATAATCAAAGCTTTGAAATTGAGAACAGGACCGATTTAAACGGTTTCACTATTTTTAGAACCAAAATCAAAGCCATTACTTTAAAAAATCATACCAAACCGACATTTGAACCGAATTAAATCGGTTTACCGGTTCACCAGAAGACCCCTAATACTTTCCAATGGAAACACCATTACAGAGAGTTAGAGATGTCTAGTGATCACAGGCCTCAATTGAAGTGTTTACTTTGTGTAACTAGCCCAATCCTTGAATTTAAAGCCCAAAAATGGATCGGGCTGAATGGTTTAGGCTAAAACTTAGGCCTTGTTTAGGAATATATTATTTTAATAATTTTTTGATTTTTTATGAAAAGATGTAAAAATAAATAAAAATAATAATGTGACAACTTATAATGATTTTTTAACTTTTTAACTAAAATTAAAAGTTGTCAAATGAGATCTTAGTCAAATTATACTGTCATGCCAGTTTAAAGGTCTTGGAATTTCTTTAAAAAGGTAAGCCCAAAACGAGGTAGGAATAAATATGAATAGTTGATTACAACACCACAAGTAGAAATAAATCAAGGTAGAAGTAAGTCGAGCAGAGTATAAAATCTGGTTTGTTCACATTTCAAATGATCTCAAACGAGTTTTTATTGAGTTAATCATAAAGAGTTTGGTTTTATAGTGCATTTAACTGAATCAAGTTTAGAGAAAACCGTCCAAGTTTAAATTAGCGAGCTTTAGAATGGGAGAAATATTATCACCATACCCGATATAAATATTTCACTACCATTTCAATGAGTTGATTTTTAAAAGTTAGTTAGCGGGTGTTTCATGTGAGAAAATATCTTTAGTAAAGTTGTACTTTAATATTTTTTATTTTTTCTTAAATTCAATTTATAACTAACTTAAGCAAATACTTATTAGAAACTCTTGCTCAAAGTTATAATTTATAATCAATTCTAATAGCAATACCAAACATATACCAAATAACCAACTCTTAAGTAGAAAGAAGCCAAAAGCAAATAAAATTGTTTGGAATGACTTCTCCATTAAATAAATAAAAAATATAATTTAAAAAAAAATTAAAATGACAATTTTACCCTTAATATTTTTAAAACTTTCACTGTGCCCTTATAAAATATTGTAAGCTTAATACAATAATTTCTCATCAAAAAGAAAATTTAAAAAGATCCAAAATTAAATATTTTTGACCACTACCAAATACATAACTTATTTAAATTCTAAAAAAATAAAAAAATATACTAAAAAACCAATCATCAAACCCCACCATAAAAAGAAATTAAAGACATATTTTTGCATTAGTAGGGATCAGATTCCCCCAAACATAATAATAAAAAAAAAAAAAAAAAACGTGCCCTCCAAAAAAAAAAAATTCCCCTCACGTGCCCTCCAATAATTGAAGAAACTGTAAATATTTCTTTTTTAAAAAAAAAAAAATTATTTTTAAGCTTGGAGTATGAGTAATGCTAGAAACCCCAAATATTCTACTAAAAGTTTTACCAAATGTCTCACATGGGTGTGGGACCCACACAATGTGGGTCCCATGTGGATCCCACACCCATTTGAGACCTTTGGTAAAACTTTTGGTAGAATTTTTGGGGCCTTTAGCATTTTTGATATATTAATGAAGACGTGTTGAAACAATAGTGCTTTTCTCAAAAAGCTCCGATCCCAAGAAAGGTTTTTGTTTAATATACAAAGGGAACCTTAAGATTATAGGTGAACTTCCCCTTGTCACTCATTTAAAAAAAAATACAAATAAAATATTTGCTTTAATTGGATTCATCATGCACATTATTCTCCACTCATAAAATAAACTGGGTTTTGATCAGCTTTATCATGAACAGTCCATTAACAAACAAAAATCATCACTGCAACTAATGTATCTCACTTTGTCCTTAAGTGGTCATCTAAATAGTTGGGCATTCAAAGCATATATATGTGTATACATAATTGAGAATTAGTTTTTAGGAGGGAAAAAACTTGAAAATAAGAGTTAGAGATGAAAATAGAATTCAGTCAGGTAAAATGACAGTCGCTGAAAAATGAGATTTTGCCATCTCACATGTTTAAGATTGTGTTTGGTTTGTATTTTTTTAGTTAACTTTTGACTAAGTTAAAAATTTTAAACCTATCTATTTTTTTACTAAGAAAAGATAACCATTAAAAAAAAAAAGAAGAAAAAAAAAATACTCTTTCAAAAGAATCCACTCAACTTTTTCAATAACAAAAAAAAATTATAAAAAATATCAATTTTTTTAACAATGATTTATCCCAAAAAATAATAATAATAATAATAATAACAAAAAAAATATTGAAAAAATTGTCACCCTAAATGTCCTAGTTATATATTGAGAACAAATTGTTATTTTTTACAAAATGTTTAACATTTAGATACTTGAAGATTTGATTTGACTAATACATTGCAATTTATGTTTCAGACAAGCTACTTATGAGTAATTTTAGAGATTACGAAAAAATATCATGAAGATGATCATGAAAAATTCTCCACTATTGGATTACACATATAATAAAACATCACCCACTAATCAAAAGATAAAAAAATTTCATGAATCATTTCATAATATTTTTTTCATTAATCCCTACTAATATTCGCTACTTAATTGTTGTTAAAGTGAGAATAAAGTTAAAATAATTAAAATTTTCATTGTACTTTTTACAAATTGAATTTTTATATACTTTCAAATTTTCAAATAACTAACTTTATAATTTTATAAAAATTAAATATACATATATAATATATGGGCAAATTACATATACACCCCTCCAGGTTTGACAAAATTACAGATACCCCCCTGAGATTTGAGAAATTACGAATTCCCCCCTGAATGCTATATTTGCATAAGAAATTAGGGGGTAATTTGTTATGAAATATAAACCTCAGGGGGTAAATTGTTATGAAAATACAAACCTCAGGGGGCAGGATGTAATTTCCGAAACCTCAGGGGGTATCTGTAATTTAACCAAACCTGGAGGGGTGTATATGTAATTTGCCCTATATAATATATATATATTTTTGTGTACAGGTTTCATACGTACATTAAAATTGGGCGGTGATTAGCAATTTCCATATATACGAAGAGGAGTGTGATTGGTACACTTGAAGAGAGTGACCACTTCTCATTTTTAGCAAAAACTAGTTCCTTTATAACCATTTTCAAGAATCTTCTCTCCCTAAACATTAAATTCTCTTTATATAATAACTGTGAGATGCACCTCACATAGGATTCTAATCCATAACTCCATATATGTAGCTGCTGTCTTTTTTACCATTCTCCTATCACATAAGCATTAGACAGAACCTTCCCACTATCACAAATCCTCATTGGTGGGTGAAGAGTCATTGGGGCGTGATGGTGGGACACACAACAATGACTTGAAAGAGTAGACCATGAGTGATGACACAGAGCATAAAAAGTACTTGGGAGGAGATATATTGGCTTTGATGGTTATTTGAGAGGGACATGTCTTTGTCAATCAGCTTTAAAGCATCTAAGCAGCATCTCATGCCGTGAAAAGGATTTTTTACCTTTGCCTCTGTTAGGCCCTTTTCTCTAGTTAGATAGATTTTTTTTTTTTTTTGACTTGCATGTGTATGAGAGAGAGAGAGAGAGAGAGAGAGAATGGAAGAAGTATGAAGCATAAAAAGGAGGAGAAGATGAGATAAAAAAGGGTGTCAGACTATCACCATGTTTAGGTTCAAAACAAAAAAAAATTGAAGAATGTTTCTAGATTTATATATACATGAACTAATGCAGTAACTACTTACCACCTCTATTTCAAGATGAAAGCACACTTTCTTTTTTTTTCTGTTTTTTTTTTTGTCACAAAAGTGTTTGGGACTTTGCATTACAGTTTTGTTACTTGCACAGAAACTAAATACAAAACTGGAGAGATACGATACAACTCTCTAGAATCACAGAAATATAAGACTCATGTGAGAAGATTGTCTTGTTCTCTGATTAATTTATCTGTTCCTAACTTTTTGGCCCTTGTTAATCCCGAGTACATAAAGTCCATGCTTCATATGTATCAAGTAATTACCGAGCATAAGCACTGAATGGCTCTAGAGTTATGGTGATTTTAAATAACAATTTCAGAAATATGTACTAATATCAACAAAACCATTATATGAGCTAATATCAAATAATATCGACCAATATATTAATAAATATTAAAAAAATTAAGTCTTGATTTAGTTTAGTAGATATCGACTGATATTTAAACCCTGGTTGTAAGCTTTTGAAGACTTTTTTCTTTTTATTTTTGTTATGAAGAAGAAAACTACAAAGAGAGAGGAAAAAACCAATGAACTGAAGTTAAATTACCATGTTATTTATTTAAAAGCCATGTACATGAACTCTCCAAGTCCAGGCCTCTAAGAGCTAAAAGAGACATAACCAAGAAAAATAAAATAAAAACCCTAAAAAATCAGAAATGGACTAGAACAACATAGGTGGAAAAAGAAACCTCCCTAAAAGTCAGTTTAAGCCCTCTCAACACGGCGTATGAAAACAGTTTCCAAGTCTGGTGGATTAAAGAACTCTCTAACAGCACCACCACTGTAGTGACACCTCGAAGCCGGTTTTTGCTTCCTTGGAGGCGGCGGACACGAAAGTCTGCTGGGAATTCTCGCTTCTTCGGCCGTTGGCGTCGTCGAACACTCTTTGTCTTCATCATCATCCTTTTCCTGCACTGGATTTGTGAATATCGGCTTCAATGGACTCCGTAGCGGAATTCCGGCAATGACCCATTTCTTGCCTTCTGATTCCTCCATTTGAGGCTTCTCTGGGTACCCCATGTTCTTCAGCTAAATTAAAAAGGATGAGAATGAGATGGGTTTTTTGGGTGGAATGTGAAGAAACAAGTGGGAAAATCTTGAAAGTGAGAGAGAGAAAGGGAAAAGGGAATTGGGTTCTTGGAATGAGAACTTTTTTATTTAATGAAGAAACTATGTAGGAGGGGAGGGAAGGGGAGATGAGGTGAGAAGAGGGAAAATGAGAAAGAAATAAGGAAAATTACAAATTAGTTGGGCAGTGAAAGGATAATTGTATTATAAATGAAATATTTTTTGATAAAATTTTGAAAAGTAAGACAGAGTTGTAACAGACACGAAAGATTTATACTATACACGTTATCATAAAAATATAAATATTTTTTTTTATTGTCTCACTGATTTGTAACTTTTTAAAGAGTAATGATTGAGATCACTACATTTATCAGACTTTACAAGACTTATATAAATCTAAATCACTCATAATATAAATCTCATCACATATATAAAAGGACTCTACATATACGTAAAAGGTTAAAATCATTTTAAAAATATGAGAATCATACACAAAGAGGTTGCAAACATTTTCCTTTTTCAAACGGGTAAAAGGTAGGAATGGCAACGGGGCGGGTCGGGGTCGGAGATCACACTCCCCGTCCCCGATCCCCGATGGTAGAAATGTCCCCATCCCCGGCCCCGATCCCCGACGGGGAGCCTATCACCTCTCCCACCCCGGCCTCCTAACGGAGATCGGGTTTCCCCGACCCCGAAACTTCCCCGTCCAAAAAAAAAAAAAGAAAACCAACAATACAGTGTACAACTTACAGATCAAATACAACATCAAATACAAAAAATATATATATATATATCATCAACAAATCAACATAGCAACAGATCGAAGGCAGATCTACCCCCGTAGAAACAGATCGGAGGTAGATCTACCGCCGTAGAAACTGATCGAAGTCTGTGGTCTGTGGTCTGTGGTCGGAGGAAGATCGAAGTCTGTGATCGAAGTCTGTGGCAGATCAACACAGAGAGTTGATCGAAGTCTGTGATCGGAGGTAGATCGAAGTCTGTGTACGTTGCAGTCACGGATGGGCGCAGTGGACTGCGGGGAGGAGGAGAAGGGGCGATGAAGGACGGTGGTGAAGGCGAGGAGGGGAGGAGGCGACGGAACGGAGGGTTGGACCTTCGCTTCTTTCTCATCTCTCAGTCACACAGAGAGTCACACAAAGAGTAGAGGGGAGAGAAGAACGAGAGAGAGAGAGAGAGTGGTTGAGATAAAATAATAACCTAGCCACTAATTTCTAAACATATATATCTATATACACACGGGACTGAGACATATATATCTATATACATACGGGGACTGATCGGGGCGTGCTCGGGCCGGGGTCGGGCCGGGACTGAAACATGTATCTCCGTTTCCAACCCGAAAATTATCGAAAATTTTTTTTTATCACCATCCCCAACTTGTCGGGGATATTTTTCAAAGAATAACTGTTATATTCGAGATCAGGAGATTAAATTTTCATCAGATCGATTTTAAATTGTCATCCCTAATAAAAGGAGGCTGCAAAAGGTTACAAACATTTTCCTTTTTCAAACGGGTAAAAAGAGGCTTTAAATGAATAATAAATGAGAGAGAGAGAGAGAGAGTAAGGTTAAATGTTGTGCTATGCCCAATAAGAAATAGAGTTAGAGAGGGTACCCGAGGAAACCGTGACCTAAGCAAAAACGAAGCTTAAAGGGTAGAGAGACAGAGAAAAATGAAGATGCCCGTGAAAGTTGCTGACCAAGGGCAGCAAATTGCATGTACATTAGAAATTAGAATTGACCTGGATTTTGGCGCCATTCCTCTCTTTTTAAGCCGTTAAAATTGGAAATTAAATTTTCAATATCATGTGATATTGTTTAAATAATGTATTACAAATTATTCTTATTACTAATTACTTACTTTAAAAAGATCATTAATATTATTACACTCATAAAATTTACAGCTATGTCATCAGATGATGGTCAAAGCTAACGAGGGTGATGAGCCATGGCAAGAGTTTGACGGAAAGTGGTTGGAGTTTACTGGTGGTGTTTAAGTATGTATGATAAAATGAGTCAAACGAGTTGAACAGTTGGATGTGTTTGGTAATGTTTATGTTTTTAATTTATTTTTATAAAAATTTTATAAATTGGTTTTTATTTATTTTTTATTTACTTTTAGAAAAACATAAACTACAAACGCGTTTGGTAATTGACAAAATGTTTTAAAAAAATTTAAAATATAAAAAAGAGTGAGAAATAGCGAGTGGTGGCAAGTGGCGGCGGAAGACGGTGGTGGAAAGTGGTGACGGTGTGGGTGGTGGGTAGCTGGTGGTGGTGGTGGTGGGTGGGTGGGTGATAGTAGCGGGTGGTGGGTGGTGGTGACATGTGGGTGGAGGATGACAGGTGGTGGCGGTGATGGTGGTTGGGTGGGTGACGGTGGCGGATAGTGGGTGGTAGCGAGTGGGTGGTGGTGGTAGTGGTGGCAGGTGGGTGGCGGTGGCGAGTGTGGTGGGTGGTGGTGGGTAAGGTGGCGGATGGTGGTGGTGGTGGGCTGGTGACGGTGGCAGGTGGTAGGTTATAACGAGTGGGTGGTGTTTGGAGGTGGGTGTGGGTGATGTGTGTAGTGGTGGTGTCGTGGGTCGGTGGTGGTGGTGGTGGCGGGTGAGTGGCAGGTGGATTGGTGGTGGTGTGGTGGTGGTTGTGGCAAGTGGTGTGAGTGGTGGTGGCAAGTATGGGTGGTGGTAGTGTGGTTGTCGGAGTGGTAGTGCGATGGTGGGTGGGCGGTGGCTGGCAGGTAGTGGCGGATGGTGGTGGCGGAAAACGGTGGTGAATAATGGTGGTCGGGTGTGGCTTATGTTTGGTGATTAAAAAAAATAAAACTTCAAAATGGAAACACATTTTTTGTGTTTTCATTTTTTGGCCAAATTTATAAACTGAGACCACTGATTTATAAATCAAAAATTTTACCAAACAAGTTTTTATTTGAGTTTTTAAAATTTTTGTAAATATAAACAGAAAACTGAAAACATAAGTGTTACCAAACGGCACCTAATTATTTAGGCTTTGATTTGAAGATTTATTATCTATTTTTGTCATTTTATCTTATTATCTAATGTGTTAATTTAATTGTCAACACTATATTATAGATATATATGACTGGCAGGACTATTACACCAATGGTATATTGACAAATCATGAACATTATAAGAAAATTCTACTTACACAACCATTCTAACTCATTACACCCCAAAATTCTCAAAAAAAATTATTACAATTTTAACCTTAATTAAAATTACTAAAAATCCCTCAAAAACTTTAACAACTACAAATCCTAATTTCTCATTTCACCCGCCATCTTTTGGACCCCTTTACCTGACCACCACCACTATGTCGCCGTCGCCCATCGCTGCCCATCTACGCTGTGGCTCCAGCGCCGACAACTCCGGAAGCCATTGTCGACACCTCCAACCACCAAATCACAGCCCCTCTTCCACCAAAAAATTCTCCTCTTCTTTTTGCGACCTCCTTTCAGCTGTCACGACCAACCACCGTCACCGTTCTTCCCCCACAAACCAACCACACTCATACTACAAAAAATTAAGATTTTAGAGGCCAAAATTTAGGGACAAAATTATTTTTTATGGACCAAATATTTTTGTTGCGAAGTGTCATTATATTTTTAGTAACGAAAATTTGACATTAGTGATGAATTATTTTCCTTTTGGGATTAAATTTTTTGTCTAAAAAAATAAGCTATTTTGAAACTAAATTATTTTGTCCTTAAAAGTCTATTTATTAGTGACATTTTTAAAATTTTGTCGCTAAAAGTCTTGTTTTTTACTTTTCGGGACGACCTTTTAGCAAATATTTTCATGACGATAGAAATTGGTCCCTAAATGTCTTTTGCAATAAAATTTTCACTTTTAGAGACCAAAACATTTGGTCTTTAAAACTTTTATATGTTGTAGTGTCATGGCCATCTCCGACAACTACAACTCCTCATTCCCGCCTTTGACTCTCATTTTAACCATTCTCTACACTGTGAACCCTCGCTCCATGACGATAGAAATTGGTCCCTAAATGTCTTTTGCAATAAAATTTTCACTTTTAGAGACCAAAACATTTGGTCTTTAAAACTTTTATATGTTGTAGTGTCATGGCCATCTCCGACAACTACAACTCCTCATTCCCGCCTTTGACTCTCATTTCAACCATTCTCTGCACTGTGAACCCTCGCTCGATATTTGTGGCGACAAATCGCTTCCATTACAACCATGGTGCACCACGTCTCCGTCATTCGACCCTTCATTAAGACCCAAATCTACTACCACTGCACACAAAACACACACACACACACACACACACACACACACAGGGAGAAGAAGAGGGAGGGAGAGAGAGAGAGAATAATAAGGAGTGGGGGGTGAGTAAGGCAAAAAGAGGGTTCGGATTGGCACCGGCAGCAAAGGCAGTGGTGGTGGTTGGGGGACATGGTGGTGAAGGGTGTGTGGATTGAGGAATTAGGGTTTGGGTGGTAGTCGTGGCGATAAGTGGTGATCACAGTGGTCAGAGGTTGCAGGGTAGTGATTGGAGGCGGAGGTGGAGGTGGAAGAGTTATGGTTTGAAGGTTATGGCTGCCGAAGGTGGTGATTGTGGTAGAGTAGAGTTAGGGAGTGTAAGGATGATATTATAGTGTTTGTAAAGAGATAATTGATTTTTATGTGTTGTGTAATGAGAAATTAAAAGTGTAAAAAGAATTTTTTGTGGTGTAAGTAGAATTTTCTAACATTGTATGGTATTAAAACAAGGTAAATTACACTTTTAACCCCTTTAATTTGACTTAAATTTTATTTTGGTCCATATTATTTTAAATTAAAAATTTTGGTCCTTACATTTTGAATTTAGTTTTAATTTGATTTTTCCGTTTAAATTAGAGGTTTAAATTAATAATTTTAGGAAACTTGTTAGTCTCTTGAGGTACACACGTACAAAAATTTAACAAAAATTTAGACAGGAATAGCAAATTGAAACTATATTTAAAATGTACAAATCAAATTATTTATATTAAAATAATAAAGATCAAAATAAAATTTAAATCAAGCTATAAAGATGAGAAGTGTAATATATTATATAAAAATATGATAAATATAAGATTGTTCTAAATTCACAGCTTGTTTTCTTGTTGGTTGAACATGTGACATATATTCTCATTAGTACATAAT